TGGTTTGATGTTACCTTGCTGCATAACTACATCATCATCACCTCTCTCTCTACATGGACTGAGAGGGTCTGATTGTGCTCTAGGTTTTACAGGAGTTTTAGCAGAACAAAGATAACCTCTGCAAAATCAGAGTAAAATAAATGGCCGAATCATGCAGGGAATAAGAGTCATGTACTGTTTCTACACAGAAACAGCTTAATTCTTATTTAGGGGAAGGGGGAAATGCATTAAAAGGTTTGATTCAGTTTCCATTGTATCCCTCGGAAAAGTTACAACTGATTTAAATAAAATCAGGACTATTTATGTTTACATATTAATTTAATTGCTATCACAAACAAACAATTTAGGTGGGGCATCTCAAGAGAAACATACATTTTATTTCCGCAGCAAATACTATTTTTACATGCTAAAGTTAAGGACCTACAGTGTGAAGCTACTGAATAAATTCTTCAAGTAGCTGAAACCCTAACACATATGCAATTTATAAAGTAATATGTTTTTCTCTCTAATATGTGGGAACTCCCCTGCATTAAAATATCAAGATGATCTATTCATACCTTGTGGGTGCTGCTGGGATGCGCAGAGCATAAAAGATTTAAGGTGGAACATTTCTGTAAGTGCTACATGGCATTCTTGTCTGTGGGCCAGCAATGTGATATGCTAGCTTGACTTACTGATGTCATCATGTCTGAATATTGAAGTGAGACCAGGCTTCTACATTTGGATATTCCAAAGGTTCCAGAATACAAGTCTGAATTCCCTCATTCCTGAAAATTGGTAGACAAGTTTTTACTAGTAGATTCTCTTTATATTCACCTGGTTATGCAGATAGACTGAGGTCTGAAAGATAATTAGTGAATAAGTAACTCCCATTTAAGAAATACAAAACCAAACCCATTTCTTGTAATATCTCAGAAGTAGTTGTTTTGAACTCCTGCTTTAACAAAGGTTTGCATTTCACACCACAGACTACAGTGTGCAGCACTTCCACTACCTAGAGCAGGAGTAGCGCATCTTACCTTCACCGCTTCTTCCAGACTAGTCGGATTCCTCATCTCCTAGAAGCAGTAGATTGTCAAAGCAATAGGCTTCCTTTGATGCTGTGGTCAGTCTAGGCCAATTGACTCGTTATCCACTGTTCTTCCTGTGTGGGTCCCAGATTTGAAAGCCCACAATTTTGTTACTTCAGGTTTATGCTGTACTACAAGCTGCTTGAAAGGAACTTGTTCACAGAAACTCCAAAAACAAGTCTGGTTGAACAGATCAACTCAGTATCATATGAAGTACAGAATTTAATATTGCAGTCTTTTCATCTTAGTGTGGGCAGTATTATTTCTAGGGCTACTATAAAAGATTTCCACCAACTGACCAGCTACATTTTAGTTTTCTTGACAAGGCACTAAACATTGTGAATCCAATCACTGTGCTCTCTCTGTAACATTAGAGAGGGTTTTAATGGCTGTAATAGGATCAGAAACCACTCATCATAATTCTTCAAACAAGCATTTGATTTTCCAGAAATTAAGTTTCCACTGGAAAAATCTTTAGAGTTCATGTTAAAAATATTTGAATGACAGCTTTTATTAATAGAAAAATATATATTTACAGTCAATACTGTTATCTTAGATTGGCAGCTGTTCCTATTTCTTGAGCTCAGCTGAAAGTGCGACATTGCTAAAAAAAAAATAAATCAAGATCTGTGCACATTTTCAAGTAAGTTATAATGTGCACAGGTAGGAGTTCTGTTCCTGTCATACACAGGATCCCAGTTACAAACAGAGCGGGTTTTTTTCCTTTTGCTTAGCAATTATGCTGTAGCATTCTTAGGATTTGTTTACAATCAGTTTAATGCGTACATTCTTGTATATTTATGTGGTGCAATCTGTTGCCAGGATGGAGAACCACCACAAACACAGTTACAATCATCAGTTATGGGCATATCTGCAGAGTCAGCCTCAAGCTCCCCAAGGAATAGCTCAGGTCAGATTATGTTCGACTACTTTGACCATTCTTTCTTTTTTAAAGAAAAAAAATAATCCACAACATTACAAATTACTAAAGTTTACCCAGTGCTGCACGAGAGAGATTGGTAGTGAACATCTATCCATGCTTGATTATACTGCAGAGCTAAAATAAGTATTGGTTCATCACGAAAGATACAAACTGAAATCAGCTAGCTGGAGATACAAAGGCTTCGGACCAGCTGCATTAAATACGTATGGCTGTAAAACATTCAACATTCAACTTGGCATGTGCGTGTTGACGTGAAAGGGACACAGAGAACACGTCTCCTTAAACACGGGAACACCTACCAGCTTCAAGGCAAGAGCCCACTGCGACGGCAAGTGGTCCAAGAACTGCTTGTAGGACCCCTACGAGTTAGGTGAGAAGTTACGTGCACACACGCGCTACAAAACGAACACAAAACCAGACCACGGAGAACAAGAAGCCCTACTCGGAGCTCAACACATTGTGACTAATAGCTAGTAGATAGTATGCGAGTGCCTTGTCATGCTCGGTGTATTGAAGCTATGGGAGTGTTGCTCTCCTCCGTCCAGAAAAAGCAGGGCTTACTGAACGTGTGTGTACAAGTTCTTCTACGAGCTGCTCAGCAGTAGTGTAGAAACCTTCTTCCCTGATGTAGTGGAAGTACCTCAACTACATACATTGCACTTGGGCTTTTAATGCATTGTCCTCTTTTTTCTGCATCAATGCCGCCATCCTAACCTTTTTGCCAAAAAAGAGAAAGAAAAAAAAAAATCACATAAAAAATATATTATCCTTATTCTTGCCTGATCCTTCACTGATACAGGTGAATCAAACAAAAGAACAATAATCAGAAGTTTAAAACAAAAAAAAATTTAGAAAGGTCACAGACAGGTCAAAAGACAGTCTATGCTATGGCACAATCGATGTAGGCTTCCACATACTATTCGGCTTAGCTCTGTTGGATCCCAGAGAAGAACAATACAGACATTTCAACCCCTCGAAATGTATGGTGTGGATCCAGAGCTAGTTTTGCTGACTTTAAGCCTGCAGGACTGTTTGTTCAGTTTCCATGCATCTGGTCCAGGCATGCATATGCTGTATAAAGTGGCTATGATTTCAAGGCTGAAGTGAATTGATTCCTCACAGTTTCAACAATTAAAATGAAACATAAATCTATAAAAGGAACACATGGATATCTGTGCATTTATGTGCCAGGAAAGTAAAGGAAGGGGCTGCAGATCTAGCATCAGGTAAAGGCTGGTGTGTAAAGTGAACACTGTAATGTACAGCTTTAAAAAAACACATACAAGAATTGCACATAGATCCATAAGAGAGAAGCACAGGCTCGTAACTAGGGCTGCCTGCTTTCTATTGCCTGGGTCAGAATATTCCGTGTCACTTTCCCCTGCATCCAGAACAATCGCTGCAGCGTGATTCAGGAAGCACTTCAGAGCCGAGCAATACTGAGCAAAGATACAGTCTGTACAACCGCAGAGGTCCAGAGGAAATGGCTGGTAGGGCAGGGAAGGAAGTTAGCAGCGGCCTTGAAAAGTGAAAAGCTCCTTCAGGTTGACTTGCAAAAATCCTGTCTCTTTAATCCTCAACTAATTCCTGCTCTGGTCCAAACTTCTGGCTGCTGTGCTCTTTGAGCTATTCTGACAACATTCCATTTTTAGTGTGTTGTCTACAGCAGCATTAGAAAACACTAGTTACAACAGACAAGAGATAGGCAGCCAAACACCACTGTGGGAAAAATGCATCACGATACTGCTAGTTGTGGCTGCCAAGCTTAACAGCTCCCTCAATAATTAAACAACAGTGCTTTTGCCCCCTTGTTTTTACCCTTCAGAGAGCTGTGTCTCCAGTAAAAGTGTCTCCATGTGGCCTGTTACACAGACAAGCTCTAAACACTTCTATCTCTTGCCAACATGCCAGCAGAGCCAATTTCAGTCCTGCTTCACAATATGGCACCAGTGACAAGAGCAGACCAAAATAAAACAGCAGAGGTGGCTGTTATTTTCATCCCCGAGTCATAGCAGTGATTGCCAGAGAAGGTTATGTACGTCCTATCCATTACAAGTCAGGCTTTAGTGCCTTTTGCGACGGAAGGGGAATTTCAATTGCCCACCATGTGTCGTGTTGCTCTGGTATAAAAACCTGGTTATAGCTCCAGTATATCAACAGTCCGGACTGGTGAATGTCATGTAGGAAATGGGAAAGACAACGTATGCATATTCTGCTTTTTAATGCAGAGGTCTTAAGCTAAGGTCTGTTTAAGGCAGCATTGTTGAAATCACGGATCTGTGGGTAGCAAGGATACGGGTAGGCAGCGAGGCAGAGAAGGAGGGAAGAGGACTGAACACAGCTGCTTACTGCCCACTGACACTTGCTGCAGTCAGCAGGACAACCATATCTGGGGAGGAAAAAAACCCAAGACAAAGTGTAAGAGAAGGATGAGAACCTGGTTGGAGGACAGACCAAAGGAAAGATGAGTCCAGCCTGCATGTGGGGTACTATGCTGAGAGAAAATTTTGTGTGGTATATTGAATGGAAGCAAGTGAGCATCTTGTGGGATGGTGGATCACTCATCTCACATGTACAACTAACCCATCGCTGCATATGGTCACTGCTATTCACTAACCAATGCTACATAAGGAAATGACAGGAACTACCCAGAAGAGGAAGGTAATTTGTTTACTGCAGTGGTAGAAATAGTGGTATCAAATTTTGCTCTCCTTTTCAGCCAGATATTGATCGTTGCATATGGTCTGATCCAAATGCAGTCATGTATGTATAATCAATCCCTAACAGGCCTGGCAAAAAAGGGAAAGTGTGTCATACTGGATACAGGATGCAACTTCTCCAGTTAGAACCTATTTGCTCAGAGGTGCTGGCTTTGATATCTAGGCTATTTTTTAACACTTGTACAAAATGGGAGCCCTAGGGGAGGCAGGAGTGAGGGCTGGGGTGGAGGTGGAGGGTGCTTCAGGAAAAGCAACAGACTCTACAAACTAGTGCTGCTGCATGATTCTCACAATGCGATGAAGTGAGTCTATAGTGGCAAAAGCCAGATATTGACAACAAAGCCAGTCTTCCAGAATAATTCCACAATCTCTGTCCAAGGACTTCTCTGCAAACTTGATCATCAGCAGCGTCCTTTTTATGTCCAGCCAGTTCTGAAGTACAGCATCTCTCCGCGCAGGGTTGGAAGAGGTACTTAGAGCGTGGAACAAGTCCTCACGTGGACCCCAGAGCAAACACTGAAGGATCCCCTTGGCTTCTGATATCAGGATTCTCTCTGAAGGGTTAGGATTCAGCAGGCAGCTGGCAAGTTGTTGAAGCCCTTGAGAGTAGAGGGAACGGCAAGGAATCTTGGGGAGATCAGCATGTGTATACTCCTTCTCCTTCAGCTCTGGATTCTCATCAAAGGGATTGGGTAAGTGCAGCATTTCGTAGATGAGAATGCCAGTCTGGAACTCATCACACTTTTTGTACTGTGTTGCAGTGATGATTTCTGGAGCCAGGCGGGACTGATCCCGTAGGACCTCAGGGTCCACCATATGACTCTTCTGCTTGGCCTGGGAGAAATTGCTCACTATTAATCTGGCTGGGCAAGCAGTGTTGGGACTAGGCTCCATGGACTCAGAGCTCAGAGGGTTGCCTCCAGGTCTGGAGTGAACCAGCAGCAGGTTCTCTAACCGGAGATCACAGTGTGTGATATGATAAGGTTTCAGGTGCTCCAGGCCCAAACACAGCTGTAACAGGAGTAGACAGACCTGCCTCTCATATAAATCTGGGCTTTTTGCATGGCGAGGCGCAGAGTCTCGCACAAAGTCAGCCACTGTTAAGTATGGGACCTCCCGTGTGATGACCACAACACGGCTGCGTGGCTTGCTGATGGTCCCCTGTTTGCTTGAGCTGTCTTTCTGTGAAGCCTCTGTACTGGAAGGAGTGTCTGTGTTCTTCTGCTCAGGCTCTTTCTCCTCTTCTTCCCGCTCTTCTTCTTCCACCTCTGGTGCATCGGCATCCTCCCATGGAAGGAGACGAACTGGCACTTCAGCAAGGAAGTGGCCACAGTCCTGTTGGATGTTGAAGTTGATGGCTAGACTCTGCCGGATAGATAGGCTGTGATAATACTGCTGGGATTCCTTAGCTTTGCTCTTACAAATCTGGAGGAAGGAAATAAACAGAACAAACATAATGTAACGCTTAAATTTGTAAATCCTATATACTTTTAAAAAAAATAAATTACACACTTTTTTCACGGGTATCCACAGTCTAGCCCTAAACATAAGCACTGAAAAATTTTTACTGAACTGACGCTGGCAGACTAAGGCCCATGAACAGGTTCCATCAGCTAGTAAGGAACTGCAGACCACTAAGTGCAGGCAGCTGCCCCTGGGCAGTTCAATGGAAAACAGAGTTCAGGCAGGTGGAGCTTTTAGAATAGCAGCTGATACATGGTAAATGCAGTGAAGCTAACTCTACAGGTACTTGTTTATCCATATAATTTAATTTCATTTCATGTTGTTCTGTTAGCTTTGTGTGAAGCTTGAACAAGATAAAAATAATCTGCAGCGACAGGCGATACAAATAAACACGCATAGACTGTGTGAGGGTTTGATCAAATGACTGCACAGGACTGAGTCTGCCTGGCGTAATGGGCTCCCCGTCAGCAGGTGACCGAGTGCATGCTCCTTGCCTGCTCTAAGAGGCAAGGGAGGTCTGCTGGCTGCAGCTGGGGCGAGCTGACTCTTCACCTCTGTGCCAAGGGCTGTGCGTGCGAGGGGCAGGGCCTGTCCGCAAGTTACTTGCTGTAGCTCAGCTGAGGGGTGGAAGCTCATTAGAAGATGGTTCCTTAATTGCTTTCAATCATTTGTCAAGACCTCAAGTATATGGGTTCATTTTGCCATACATGGCTATATCTAATTTCTGTCCAGAAATACCTTGTAGATACATACATTATCACCGTAATAATTATCCTTAGTGTGTGCGCTGCCATAACAACTGGCAGCTCCAACCTCCTTACAAGAATCACTGGACAACTTAGCAGGGCCTCTGTTCTGAGGCATTTACTGATTAAAATTACAGCCCTGGAAAGATTCAGGCATGTTGACCTTTGCATATTAACCTTAGTTCTATTGACTTCAGTGAGATTGTTCAAAGCGTTTTAAAAAAAAAAAAGTGTATGTTTGAATCGTTATAAGTTTAGAACCTAAGTGTTCAATTGGTATAATGCATCAAGAGGTCCTGACTGCAAACCTCAGAGGAGGAGAAAACAGGAAGACAGCTCTCTTCAAATGAAGTTACAGCCTCCCTTAGCCTGCCTCTGAATGCCAAGGAAAGCCAGATAACTAAGGTTAGTGAAAATCAGCATTAATTCAACACAGTCACAACCACCAAGAAGCCCACATCTCATACTAGCCCTAAATGTAAGCATATGGTGACTTTTCTCCCCATTTCTCATTTTTCCTCCTCTCAGGAACTTACATAGGTAAGTTGTAAATTTACCTTTCACTAAATAAATAGTTTTCCATCTGTTACGTGGTTAAGAAACAAATAGTTCCATGGGAGATTTAGTCTTCTATGCTTGTTGATCAGAAAAGTACATTGTACAGATAATCATATGAAAGAAGACACAACTAGTAACAGTATTTTTATTGTCCTCCTGTCTTTGATACTGTGCATATTTCCATATATCAGAGGCATTTAAATTTCCCTGCGTACTATGTACACTATAGCTTAAACTGCCTGTTTATAACTGCCATTTACAAGCAAATCAATTTGAAAAATACATTTTCTAAGAGAGGAAAGACAATTTTCTGGAAATGTTTATAGTTATGCCTTTGTATAGTGACTCTTACCACTTTAAAATTTCAGATGTATTTTATACTGCTAGAGGGTGAAGGGAGTTATCAATGGAAGGTGTGGTGTGCCACCCCCCCAATATTTTTCAGTTTGGTGAATACCTTTTTTTAGTTTATGAAAAGGATTTCTCCATGACCACAAAAAAAGAAAAGCGAAGGAATTGAGACTTAGTCCTAGTTTCTAATTTTAGTTCTAGACAGCCTCTTTTTCCTACTTAGTTCAGAAAAGAGCTCTCCAATTTATTACTGGAATTTCAGTTAAAATAATAGGAGATAGGCGTTGCACCTCTCAAAATCAGCCTTGGCTCACTCGTTTTAGAGAATGCTGCCAATCCTAGACTTGTGATAGTACAGAAGGACACCTTCATAGGCCTCTGCGGATGTGGCAATGCTTCCTTCCAATTTAGAAATGGCTGGCCATGCACAGCTCCACCAGAAGGCATTGAGCTGTTAGGGCAGAGTCTGCTGCCTTTGCACCCACCCCCTTTTTCTCTGAGCCAGCAGCATTGGCCTGCGAGGCAAATCTTATCTGTACCCCAAAAGAGAGCTGTCCCCCTTCATCTTCTCCTTTCTCCTTCTTGCTATTCAATTCTATTTTACTTCAGATTAAACTGATAGCCCTTCTTCTAGCTGGTGTTAAAAAAAATACTGATTCTTTAACATTATACCTTTGACTCTTGGGAAAATGTAACTTTTCTGCTCTTAATTGTTTTCTTTTAAAAAATATCCAGGCCTCATTCCTTCTGTCTTTATTCCTGGCTTTCTGATTCTTGTTGCTCTTGTTTGGGATTCTTCCCATTCATTACACCTTTCTGATACAACCCTATAATGAATACAGTTACTCCAGTTAAGACCTCTCCAGCATCAAGCAGAACAGAGCTTTATATATAATGATCCTTGCAACACTTCCCAGGTTGAACAAGTCACACTGTTAACTCCATTATTACTGTGAGTCATTAAAATCTTCAGAGCAGTGTCCACTCTGAAATCTGAATCCACAGCAGAGCCAAACTTTCCCCAATGTCAGTTCTTAAATACAACCTTTTGTGTCAGACTTCTCTCTTTACATCTACAAAACAGAAATTGAAGACTAAATAGTGTTATGATTAAAAACAATACTAAAATGACTATGTTCATGAAAAGTTTTCCCCTTGTTATTCTGCTGCTAAAGACAACTAATAAAGAGAAACCCTCTAATTCCACAAATGCCCAATAGTTATGGGTTTTGGAGTCTTTTACTTCTCAGATTCTAATTTACCAGTATCTTGATAGAATGGGGAAAAATGTATTGAAAGCGGTGGAGACAAACTAAGTTTTCTTATTGATCTGTCCAAAGACAGTTTACACAACTTTCTTTTGTTTTATTTAGGGACAAACTTCTTGTACTATTTTACTATTTTCTGAGGTCCAGCTCCATTTTCTATTACCATTTTGCAACAGAGTAGCAAATGGTAGTGCTTAATACTATGAATGGCAATAATGCTCACCCTGGCATTTTTTATTGGAATAGTTCCACTGTCCCCTAAAACTATCACCTGAATGACCAGGATTTAAAATTTTCAAAGTGGCTTGAGTTATAGTAAGTTATACAACTAAATTATCTACATTTGAAAAGATTTCGGGAACAAATTGTGAAATTTGATGGCCTCGTTAGGAAGAGTTTTAGACTGTGAGATTTGCTAGAGGAGTGGATACAGATCTTCTTTTCTGTTTGTGACAGTTACTGCTATGTCAAAACTGTGAGTAAATACACAGCCCAGTTTTCTCTGCATGATTTTTAAAGCTTTTGTTTGTTGAAGTCATCTGCTTTAAAAAAATATGGAAATACCATTGCGTTTTACATATATAAGAAGTTGAATTCCAATTTTTGGGCACAGGACAAGAAAAAGGTGAACATACTTTTACTAAAATACCAATAGAAAGTAGGGACAATCAGTCATTTACTACTTGCTTTAATTAAATATAATCAGCTGAGCTATGAAGATATGGTACGTGATAATAACTGAAAGAACGGTGTTGATAAAGGCTTGGCAAGCCTTATTTCTAAGGCTGATAAAGACCCAGTTGTTCAAAAGATGAAGCAACGTTGGTAAAAAGCCCTTCCAAATGATGCAAGAAAGCAGTGAGAAAAAAGGAGAGGTACGAGTAGGAAGGAATGGAAAGTTTCCATCTTCCTTTCCACTGGAGTGCACCTTTCTTGTATCTTCTCTTTAGTGCATCCATACAATGGAAGCTTCCATCACCTTCATAGGGACAGGACAGGTTTCTTTGTATCCCATGATTTCAATTCCCCCTGCCCTGTCCCTGACCCTAAGCAGCCAGATTTTAATGTTTCAGAGCTTCAAAAAACTGTTCTGTGTTAGCTTTCATTTTTCCTTTACGAGTCCAGTAGCCTGCTGTGCCATGAACTGACTTCCACTTTACCAGCAGGAAATCTCATTTCCACTCCGTCCTATGCATTTTACAGGGCATCAGTGAACTTAAAGTACAATGAATATTGTGGGAAATGAATTTACAAGTGCTGAAAATGAGAAACACAGAAGATCACAAAAGACTGCACCATCTGTGCTACTTCGTTGTATTGCACAGAGGGACAACTGCAAATGGAATTCTGTGTAGAATGAAAGCTTGCTAATCCCAAATTGATAGCTTGTTCTTGGCACAACCTTATTTTCCAAGGAGGCCAGTTTGATCTCTGATTGACCTCATTTTCTTGATCTGGCCTTGGAATAGAGCTCTGACTTTTTAACGATGTGCCAAAATACAGAATTCTATGCAGCCCTGACTGAACTTGTAATGGGCTAAAAGTTGAGCACACATAGGTTTGTTTTGATCCAAAGCATGAAGTTCTGGGATGACCTTTAATAACATTTCTGCCAAGAAGATCCACTATGAAACTAAATCACTAAAAAAAACCCCAACCCCATCTTAGCACACTGTGACAAACTAAGCAGAACTAGAAAATTTTTGTCAGCTGCAGATAGCAAACCGTCAGCCAAAGTCAGACCACTACTATTTGCTTCCAAATAGGTCTATTTTACACCTGGGACACGAACCTTAGCAGAAATCCAAAGATTTTACTGCTAGAAGAACTTGTGCTGCCCTGTAACAATCAAAGCAATAAATTTTAACTGCTTCTTTTGAGCTGTCTGTTATCTTTGCAATTCTTGTTATGCTACCTGAACTGCAGTGCAACATGCGCCCGTGGCCAAAACACACATGCTGCAGGCCACAACCCTACTGTATTTTTATGTCTGTATTGTTCCATGTGGACTCTGAATCACAATTTCTGTGTCAGTCTCATGATACTGTAATTTCCTTGAGAGTTTAATACTGAAAGTGGAAGTAATTTAGGTCACTGCCACACAGTAACTGTCTTGTATAAGTACTATTCATTCTGAGTAAACTTTTTTTTTTTTATTAAAAAGAACCACCCCATTGTACCACTGCCTTATTCAGTCTGTGTAGGGATCCTAAGAACTGAGCTGGTCTAATCCACTTTATACAAAAGGCTGGTGCTCTCTGCTGCTTTTACTGTAGTGTAACCTTTCCACTACATATTTGGAATTACTAATAAGACTGTGGTTTCAGAGATGTGTTTATCCATTTTGTCCCAGATCTACAAGCTGCTTAGAAGGCTGTACTGCACTTAGTGAAGGAAAGATACCTCACGGATGAGAATTTTATGGAAACCTTTCTTCTAATGGAACTTCTATGTTTTCCCATTTGGAAAAGTAGTTTTCTGATCATGACTTATTTACTGTTGTTTTTTATATATAGATATATGTATGTATGTATAGTTTCAGTCCAAATAATTTCCACATGGCTTTCTGCAGCTTTTTTTGCAGAGGATATTTACTAGCAGATTAGGTGAGAGTGAAGCAAAAAACATAATATAATGCTTTGAAACAACACAACTCTATAAACTATGTTTCCTCTAATATCCACACCACCAGAACAAGCTGTGCTCATTCTCCACCAAATTTATCAGACCATCTTTTGCTGGGGCTACCACCAGAGTGCAAAGGTGCACTGGTACATTCATCTCTTTGTAATGCGATAGTAATCTGGTGTTACGAGATTTTGTACAAATCCGATGCTGGACGGATGACTTATAAGTCAAAGATCAACTTGGGATAAATGTTAAGGCAAAGTTTAAACAATGCTGTATAAGTCAAGGTATTAGCGTAGAGAATGCAGTAATAAAAATATGCACAAAAGAAACAAATGAAGAGAACCCAACTTGGCTGAACATATAATACATAAGATATGTCAAAGAGAAAATTAAAAGATGGCAGCAGGCCCATATCCTGGTCCTGCTTGGCTTATGAAGAAATCAGAGAACACCTGTAGCCAGAGTATATTCCCATACCACAAGGTGCTAGGGAGGGCATTTTCAAGAGTAACTAACTTTTCCTCTCATGGTAACAGCACAACAGCTCATGGTGACCTCCAGATAAAGGAATATTTTGTGGATATCTCACTGACTCTCAAGACCAACACACCTATTAGGCTGCAATACATTTTATTACTCTGAGAACTATTTTTAAGACATCTGAATTATGAAAGAAAAAAGTACATATCTGACTGTACAACTTTTCTCACTGGCTTTCTACAAGAGAATGTATTTAGGGGGACAGTAGATAAGAAAACAACTACATAGGTCTTGCCTGTCAGAGAATAATTAAGGGCACATCCATATTGCGCAAAGAGGAATCACATTAGTGTTCTAGGTCCTAGGAGCAACCAATTTTTCATCATTCTATTGCAATGTATTGCAATCAAAAAACCCCAAAATGAGTAGTGCCGGGTTGTTGATTCTGCACCCAGAGCAGATTGCCAGGTATATTCATGGTCTGACTCTCAGCTGTTTGTACTACTGGATGTGGCATCCGCAAGACATCCATATTTCATTTCACATCTTTTCAAAAAGGGGTCTCTGATAACTCAAGAAATAGAAATGGTCATGCCCATAAATCTGCCTTAAAAAGAGGCGTTTTCAAGTTTCAGAAGAACTTATCAATTGCCCCAGTCTTACCTTTTCTTTTATTTATCTATTTCTTGTAAACAATTGTGCAGGAGTGGTAACAACATTTTATTGCCATAAAGCCCCACCCTTCTGAGAAAGGCAACATGCTCTATATGGAATACTCAAATAGGCCTCACACACATGTGCTGGGTAATAAAAGTTTTATCTCAGTTTCAACAAGAAGGAATCAGAAGTTCAGTGATTTGCTCAAGGTCACACAGGAAGCCTGACAGAGCTATGAGCCTCAGCTGTCTTTCTCACTATCATCCCACCAGATAAGCATTGGGAACTGTACGGATAGAGCACTCAGAAAGAATTACCTGTATAAAAGTCCAGTAAGTAACAACATCTAGTGAGAGACAGCTGCCAATTACTCATTAATATATTAGCAGTATATCTAGTAAATCTTATTCTAAAAGATTTTTTTATGTGTTAGCTGGAGAATAAACTAGACACAAATCGTTTGTTTTGTAAAAGGCCACAAAAGTAATGCTGACAAGTTCCACTTTTTTTTCAGTATTCCTTGTAAGGTAAGACTGATGGCAAGACAGTGCTCTTGAACAGCTAGTAATGAACATTGGTGAAAACAGAAGACCTTGTATGTGAACATAAAGACATATGAGCCTACAATTTACATTAAAATTACATGGCCCTGAACATGTAAAACTTTGAAATCTCTCCTAACTAAGAGTGATGATTTAGTATCACCTGCATGCAGATGAACCACAGGATTTTGTTATTACAGTTTCAAAAAAACTACCGACACTTTAAAATAGTAGAGCTTTTTCTACAACATTTCATTAAACAATGACTATGGTAAAGACTGAGTTGTGTTGATTTTGGTTTGATAATTTTGGAGCTACAATAAAAGCACATGACACTTAAACAGCAGATCCCAATGCCACATGTGGTTCCTGATAAAAGGAAGACCCTGGCTTTTGGGAATCCTACTTGTCACACAGCGTGGCTGCAAGCAGCTCGCACTTATGTTTGTAGGACCTGTCACTGCTGGGTGTGTTGCAGATTAGGGCTATTGTTGTGACATTTTGTCACTGAGCTCTACAGTCACCATTTCTCAAGCCCCTCTTACCTTGACAGCGTAATTGTTGAGAGGATCTTTTGCATAAGAAGCTGGGTAGTAAACCGCATCGCCTGCCTCACAGCACGGCTTGTCACTGGTGAGCCTGAAGTCTGACCAGCTGTCCACCCCAAATCGCAGCTGGTCTTTTTGCCCGGCCATGAACAAGTCTTCACATTTAAGTGCCAGCTTCTTCAGCGAATCAGCGTGCAGGCTTCGGATTTTACCTACCACCTCCTCTCGGTTTTCAATTCCTCGGTAAAGTGCTTGCCTTTGTGGCTTCTGGACACCTTTGCCCTGCTTAGTCTGCGAGATGCGTCTCCCTGGCAGAGACTCCATGCTATTGGAACACCGCTCCTTAATACTGATAGTGGTTAGGCTGGAAACACTGTTAGTTGCTGAGGTGCTTGCCCTTAGTTTTTCTGTAGGCCTGTCCAAGGAATCTCCTGACTCGTTGTCTAGGACCTTGAGCTCCAGGCTGACTGAAGAGCAGGCGCTGCTTGCTTCCCAGTTGGTGTCAATGTCATAGGTGGGGTTGGCCACAATGCACAGGCTGTTCTCCAGAGCCTGCTTCTGGAGGTCTCTGGGAGTTGGCTCTGTGTTAGCTCTCAAAATTGTTTTCTTTGGCAGTGGAGGTGGTGTTGGCTGCAAGTTGTTCATTGTCTCCTGGTCTACTAGTCCTCCAAAGGCAATGGCATCATCCAAAGCTCCCTTCGGTTGCCTTGGCTGTTTCGGAGGTATCATGGCTGCTCTGGACTGTCCTGCGTGATAAGATAACAGTAGTAGAAGATTTAAGTACTTTGAGTCTGCTGCTCGTATCTGCACTCTGCAAAGGAGTTTAAGGCAAAAAATCAAAAAGCTGCCTAAGGGCCCTGCCAATATTTTAAGAAAACCTAAATATCTGATAAATAAATCTGAAAAGATGAACTAATTAGAAAGCCAGATGGCCAAAACAGCATCATGTATATACGTCCTATAGAGCCAGCCTTTGTTTGACCTTGGCCTACATATTAAAATCAGTTTTGGTGCTAGCAATGCTGGCATTTTACATCACATGTACACTACCCTTGTAATTCCTTCTGCCGTCAACTGACCATAATATTATTCCTCACTTCCTATTTGAATGTGCCTGAACTGTGGGTGGATGCCACTAAGGAGCTTTGTGCAGTTTCTTTGAGAGGTGTATTTCTCTGGTACATGAGGTGATGTCTTTTTATATATCCACATAGTAGTCTGCAGAGCTCCTGTGATCACTTGGATTTGAAATGTGCTAAAGAGGCTGAGAGCATTATTCGGAATGGAAAGAAGAAAACATTAGACACAAATAACATAATTTAGATACTTTGGTGGACACCTCGAAAAGTCAGGATTGCCTTAGTAGATTCACAAAGTGGAAGCAAGGAAATTAAACCTACTTTCACCCAAGTTAACAAGTGTGTTGCCACTGCTTCCAAGAGGACTACAATCATACTTTGAGATTACAAAAACAGAAATATTTTTTCAATTTATTATTTAAAACTCAGCCCCCTCCAACTTTCTCTATAACATTTCCCTGACTCACTTGCCACGGTTACTTTTGTTTGCAATATTATGTTCATAGATAACCTGATTTAGATTCAGTCAAGAGATTCCACACGGCAGGTTACATACACAAAAGCACAGGATTTCCACTGGCAGACTGGGTTCAAACATTTGTGTGCTTCTAGGGAAGATAAACTTCCTCTCACGTATTTTGGATGGCTTTTAGAGAGGATAATTATGTTTTGTAACTGCCAGAGCTCTTGGAAATTAAGAATAAATGAAAGATGATAATATAAGAGAGAATAAAAAACAATAAGCAGACAATACAAATGACCAGCTTGCTGCTCTGGGACAATTAAAGCATTGTTACTCATATCAAAATAAGATTTTTCCACTCTTAATAACCAACTGCTATTTTCAGAGAAATTATTTTATATGTTTTGTACTACTCCTGTGAGGTTCATTGACTATGGCATAAGGTATGAAGCCAATTCTTACAGTTGCAATGCCGCAGAAGTGAAAAGGATGCTCTATATAGATTCAGCTAAGCATCTTTTCTAATAAGGGAGCGGCAAGTAGGAAGATGCTGCAGATTCTCTGACTATTAATAACATGGTCTGAATCCTTATAAAGAGAGGACTCAGTGGGAACACTGAACCAAACTAGAGAGGAATTCTTAGATTCGGATTTGAATTACGTGACTTTGTTCCGTAATTAATAACACATTTTGACTTCACAGCCTATGAAAAGAAAAAAGATAGTGTCCTTTACACTTTAAGATATGTTATTACAGTTTTTTTACAAATGCTACAGAACCTAAGATCCTCTTGGCCAGGATGCATAAAAACCTGGAACGCTGAAAAGGACGTCCTCATTTCAGATGATCAGAGAGGACTGTATATGTATCCACAAACAGAACAGCCTTAGCTCTTGAATTCTTAACAATCATTCTCTTTTCAATCATTCCAAGGAGACCACATCAGAAGTGAAAGTTATATCTCAATATCAAGAAACCCTCAGAGGAGCCTTATAGATTTTGCGATAAGCCTGGATATTCCAGTGTTTAAAAAACTCCACTTTGGGCAGGAAATTGTTAGCTTTGCACATGCACGGTTATCAGGGAAGACTGCTATGGACTAGTCCCCTGCGTCATCATGTTTTAGCAACCACAAAACAAAAATATTCAAAGGCTAGAAACATTGCAGAATCCATGTATATCTCTGAAGTCATTGTCAAGGTGAAAAAAATTTAACGTGCAGGGGACCCTCTGCTGCTCCTTTCTGATCTCAGTATTGCAGTGAGCATACTCTGCAATAGCAGCTCTTCCTCCCATCATTTGATATGCTGCAGCGTACGACAGTGGAACAGTTCAGGAACAATACCAGGTACCTTTTGCAACCACAAAGAGTGGCACGATTTAGAGTCAAAAGTGGAATTGATGTCTGCATACCAAACACACATCCAGATGCCAGTCTTTTGTGTGATCCCGAGACAAGTTCATTTCTACTTTGTATCTAATTTTCTTACTCATCCACACGTGTCCTCTTCCACAATTGCTTACTGTTACAAAATCTGTGACCTATGTCCTTCTCCCCCTGGCAACATTCTGCGTTAAAGATCACTTGCCTGTTTTCTCATTCTTACCCTCTTCCCCAGTATGCTAAAAGTGCCTAACTGCTGGGGTTTGAGAAAAGCTACTATTTCAGCAGGCAGTTTCCCAACATGAGGTGCCTGTGCGACTTTCTAATCCAAGGACTTCACAGATGCTAGAGGGAAAGAACAAGAAAACAAATTAGAGCAAGACATGTATCTCCAGTAGTAGGAGCATAAGCCCTCTTCAAGAAAGGTAAGATTCATAACAACATTTCTTGGTTCTCTTATTTTCCATCTACTTTAATGGCCCTGTCCTCCAAAAGCCATTCATACAGAAGAATCTAGCTGTTGCTTTTGCATAGATACTGGAACTGTGATATCAAAACATAATGGAAGAAGGTTTTCATAACCAGAAGTTGTCTTTGCAGATGTCTGGTGCGGGTGGCAGGATCCAGAGAACTGCATGTACAAGTCATTATGTAGTTTCTTTTTCAAGTATGCTCATCTGAGGAAAATGAGTTTTTCAAACATTTCGTGTTACACTGTAGTTTCTTCCCACAAGAACAAATTTTCCATATTGAAATCTAACTATCTGTATTATGTGTTTGCAAAGCTTTATATCTGGAATGTTTTTATGCAGAGTTCTTAATGCTGTATGTTTCTTTCATGCTTATTGGGCCAGTCTTTCCAGCTCACCTTTCCCCAAGCATGGTGTGATACTGCATGTCCCACATTTTTTAAAATTCATTGTTTAGCAAGAAAAAGGTTAAGTTTTGTCCCTGTCAAAAGCACAAGAGTGTCCTTTTCCACACAAGTACTGGCAGAGCATTTGCTTCTTTTTCTAGCCTATCATCTTCTTCTCCCCTTGCACGCTTAAAAACTCGTCGTTTCCTTACCGACTGCTCAGACTCTCCAACATTATGAGGTTCAGCCTGAGCTATGTTCTTGGGAAGCAAATGAAAAGGACAAACAGGCATAATACTAGGCTAGCTCTTACAGAGATCTTTGAAGTGGCTTACAGATTGTTCAAAGCCAGAAAAAAATTAACACTTTAGAGACAGCAGCTTTCTAGAGAGCTTTATGTAATTCTGCAGTTCAATAACATCTTCCATTATAGAATCTCACTACACTATTTACATATTAATACTTAAGTCTCCAGACACTATGCAGAGGCCTGAAACTCCAAATCAGCCCTAAAAAAGGAGCATTTAATTTTCATTTTCCAGATAACTGATTTATCATCAGACTTTGCATTGGAATTTATTTATGTGAGCTCATGAAACTATCACATCTGACACTGAGTTCAAGTTTAATTCAAATTTATATTCCCTAAGCATGCTTTTCTTAGAGTAATGACATGCATAATTTTTGTTTAGATATCTTAGTCCATGTATCTTTCTTTTTGGCTTAGATCAGATTAGCAGTATACATTGACAAGAAATTTCGGAACTGTGAAGGAAAATGCTTCTTTAACTGGGGAAACAACCAGTGGTGAATTAGGCAAGTCAAGTGGGTGACATGCTGCATGCTTCCATCCTTCCTTGGACAGAACTATTCAAGAGATGTTTATTGCTCCACAGTACGTAACATGTTAGTCCAATACGCCCGTGGCAGCAGGCTGCTTCTGGACTTTCTTCAAACTCATGTTGCTGTTGACATGGTAATCTATGCTACATTCTCCTTTATTCTTGAAAGCCTTTTCCTGATTATATGCCATTACCATCTCTCATCCAAGGATAACGACCCTTTGTGGGATGATGTGAATTAGAAAAGAGAGTTGAAAACAATAATCTAGTATTCACAGTAGAAACTACACTGTTGCCATGAGCATTAACTCTGTTCTCAGTTGTAGTGACCATTTAGTCACCATTTTAGTGACTTAATCCCTAATCCCCTAGTGCAGGGGTTTAAATGAAAGAAGAGGACCTGGAGGGCTGAAACAGCCAAAATGACTCTCACCTCTGCCATTCTCCAACTTACCACATCAGTTTGACAAAAATTTGTGTTTTGCATTGCCAAGAACAGCAAAAATTAGTAATCATGCATGCAAAACGAGAGTAACTAATCTTCTAAGATCACATCTATCAAAATCCCAACAGAACTAAAAACTGTGGACTCTTTAGAGTAGAGACCATCAAGGAATTCTGAGTGGATCCTACGTGTCTGCAGGAAGCCCACTGAAGGATAGGGCTGGGCTGCTCATCCCGCTGGATCTTGGAGCAGTCCAACAGCGTTGGCTTTGGGAGCCTCTGCTGACCTGTTTGTCCCTACCACCAGGAATGGAGTTAGATGTCCCAGTAATTCTCATGGCAGTACATCCCCATTTCATGTTACGAAGTCCAGTTATCAAGGCTGATGAAAGCATTCACTAAGTAAAATCTACAGGTTGGCCACCTTCTGCTGTCCAGATTCCCCTTCTCTACCCTTGACCTACTACTTGGCTTCCACTGCTACCCCCTCCCCTTGTACTTGGATATTGATCATTCTTTGCAATCTGCATTTTTATTACAACACAGAGCCTCGAATAGATTTCTCTGTAAAAGTAGCAGATCAATTATACTGATCTTTAATACCAGTACAAACTACATCACTCCTTGATAAACTCCTACCCTGACTGGAAAAAATAAAAAAACAAAAACCCCACGAATGTGTAAAAAGAGTCTTACAGCAACTGCAAGAGCAACCAGCATGCTTCACAGCCCAGGTTCCAACTGATGCAGTACATGAACATCACTATTCCATGAAATTGCTCAGTACACAGACTTACACAAACCTGATGGCTAATCCTGCGTTACACTCTGTTATTTACACATTTATTGTTAATTGAATAGATAAAAATCTTACCAGAATGATAATCTATATAGCAGAAAGGAAGGCTAACATTCGTTAAGTGACACTCATGGAGCACCTCCAGTTTCTCACCAATAGTTTGAGACTGCACAGAGCTATAGTAAGATGGGCTGCAGGTACTAAAATAAAAATTTCAGACGAAGCAACTTCTCTGCCTTGGTGACTCATCAAGTTTTGCTTGCTGCCCATTCTCCATTATAACACACTAAAAATACTACCTGTGCTAATTATATATTATACAAAATGCACCAGACTGATACTATAATCACTGCCTGTCACTGAACTGTCCGTTTTAATCAACAGTGATTTCACTATGTTATATATAGCCTGGCTAAAGCACACTGCCCAGGTCCAACTTACCGACTGAGGCAATACTCCATGGCCGATGCTGTGATTTGGGATTTTTTTCCAGTGTAAGCAATCATAAAACCTAGAAACTTAGCTTCCATTTTTTTTATCTTCTCTTTGGGTGTAAGGAGAAAAATAGCTGAGAATAAAAGAACCTGTTTTTTTTTTTTTTTAAAAAAATTACAGAAATAATATCCTGAGCATATTGAAAATATCTTAATCTTCTCAGAGCAATGCAAATTCAATCAATTAAATTTCCCCAACAAATTCAGACAGAGATAGAAGAATTTAAAGATTTGTAAAGGAAAGGATTTTAATCATCTAGTCTATTGTCTTCCTTATTGTAAGCTACAGGCTTACCTGAATTAACTTCTGTTAGAATAAAAGAGCACACCTTCAAAAAAAGAGGCCTTACCTTACACATTTGAACATTTGTTTCTGCACCTAGATTTAACTGGCGGCCACATTTTTTTCTTAATTCTTAATCTGTTGACTGTTGATACTAAAGGCATCCCTCACCACACGAGCATCCGCACAGTCCTCAAGCCAGACTGTTTCTTTGATAAGCTGAACAGATCCAGCTTCTTGAATTAGTCACTATGAAGTGCCTGTCATAATACTAGGCATTTTCAAGGCTTTTCTTTAGAGTCTGTACAATTTTTTTTAAAACATTCTTCTTAAACTGTGGTCACCAGGGCTTGGCTGTGGCCATGGCAGTTGCGAGGTACAAATTAGATACACATGATCTCTCTACTCCTATTGAAACTTCCTCCTCTTGATACACCCAGGAACATACTGGGTTCTTTTAGCCTATCATCATGGAGGGACTTAAGGTTTCCTGAAAGCCCCAAGTCTTTTATGTGGTATCTGATTCCCAGAGGAATCTTGTACGGCTTGCTTGCCTTTTTTTTTTTTTTTTTTTTTTAAATATTCCTAGCTTTTACATATTAGATGAACTAACAAATACAGCCTATATTTTACACATGAGCTATTCTCAAATTTTGCATCTGCAGTTTGGTTCCTGACCTATACTTGCTGGCACACTTGCAGTGTTTCTGGGCAGGACTGTAGAAGGGACAACTCCTGTGAGAAGAGGGGAAGACCAAACCCAAATATATGAGCACAGTACCTGACTGCAGATGAAAATTTACCAAAGCTTGCCATTATTTCCATTCATAAATTTCATGTGACTTGTCACAACTGAAGACAATAACATTCATCAAAGGACATAATATAATGTTTTCCAATTAAAAAATAGCATATGTATTAGATGAGTATTTAAAGAGTGAATATTGTGCATTTGCTGCAAGTCACGATGATTACATGATATATTTTACAAACTACCAACTGCAGTATGTAGCTATAAAAAGGTAACTGTAGGTAAAATTGCAGCTGAAGCAACAGTCAAATGTGATGTAACTTAGATTACATATCCTCTTATCCTTTCAGTTACACACACATCAGTATTTGTTAATTCTACAACATATATGATTTTTCTGCTTAAGTGATGTAAGATGTGAAAAGAAGTAGGATTTATTTTATATTCCTAACTAGTAATCCCTTGATTGTCATCTGTATTAGAAAGAGGGGCTGCTTGAATAAACCAGAAAAAGCTTTGAACGGCAGCCAAAGAACTCAGTGCCATTTAGGGTAGCATTGCTTTTAACAACAAGCAGCAAGCTTGCCCAGCCAGACCAAGTCCAGCCAAAAAGTTAATTTAACTCTTTCATACCTGAAAGTTACTTCGGTGACAGCAAATCTGAAAGTGACCCAAAGATAGGGAGAAAATTTAGAATAAAATACAGAGAGCATTCAGTTTTATACAGTTTTGCCTAGGAGCATTCACACAGAGGAACAACACTGACAACGCTGAGAATGGATGGAAAGTGATCTCAGAATCACAGAAACATTTAGGTTGGAAGGCACCTCCTGAGATGGTCAAGTCCAACCTTCCTTGCTCAGACGGTGTCAGCTGGAGCAGGTTGTCCAGGACCATATCCAGGCAGGCTTTGTGTATCTCCACATATGGAGACTCCACAACTTCTCTGGGCAACCTGTTGCTAATAAAATGTATTTTATTACATTTCCTGAGTTTACTGCTCTCAGTTTGTGAGATGCTGTGGGAAGGACATGTCTATGGACAGAAGCACATCTAACTCTATGATGAAGCAGTTGTCCTCAAGGTGTAGCATCCTCATATCTTGCATAAGAAAATTCAGCTAAATCGAATAAACCTTTAAACAGAATATTCACAATATCATTACTTTGCGTATGAAATGCGAGTAATCCCTTGACTCAGTGAACACTCTGGCTAAAATAGAGCAATTGCACCATGAGGAATAAGGGATATTTCAGACTTTAAATGGCTTCATCCATTTATATATCAGTCTGGTTAGGAACATGGACTCAACACACTACAAATAGTTTGGATGTAGCTAGAGCTGCTCCCTAGGTTCTACCTGCAGTGTAGCTACCTACTAAATACAGAAATTACATATATATATATATATA